CGAGCCCTTGGGGCTGACTGGAGACAGGCTCTGGGTGGTGACAAGGTGCCGGTGAGGTGGCACCACTGAGGGCTGACAGGTCACCAATGTGCTGTCCCTTACAGATGCAGCACAAGGAGCCCCACAGCCCCAGAAAGGTGACACAGCGGCTGGGGGCTCCAAGTAAGAGCATAAGCCCAGCTTTGTGACAGTGACAAAAGCCACAAAGAGTGACAGGAGCAGATGTGTGGCTGGCTCGGAGCCCTTGGTGTCACCCTTCCCTGCCTGACCCCGAGGGAACAGCCACCCCAGGAATCTTCGGGGTGCCCGGCTACGTGCAGGGAGGCCAGACACACAGCAATGCGATACGGAGCCTCGAAGCCTGTGGGCAACCTCCCTCCGAGGAGGGATCGTACCCTGGGCTTTGCTCCGCTCCTCTAGAGCCTGTTCAGCCCGTGAGTGAGGAATAGTTCAGCCCTGCTGTGGGGACACATCCCCCCATATCTGCATCACCCCCATCCCTGCAAAGCCAGTCCCTGCTCCCCAGACAACCCCAGCCCCTCAGCTAGGCCACCACGAGGTGGTTCCCGCACTCCCAGAGCCTCCTGATGCACCTCCTGGCGCAGGGATCGTGCCCACAGCCGGTGCTGGTGAGTGTGGCATGGGATGGGACGCTGCCCCAGCTCAGAGGGAGGGACAGAGAGGAAAGGATGGGTGCCCCGTCTCGGTGCCACAATGGCGATGGTAGGAAGGTCCTTGGGCAAAGCCAGCCAAGGGGGTGCTGGACTGCACCTGCTCAAGGATGACCTTTCTCTCCTCCATCCCTTCCTTGGCCATGAGCTGCGGGCAGGTTTGGGGAGGCCACCAAGGTCCCCACGCCCTCAGCAGCCAGTGGGGATGCCTGGCCAGCAATGTCCCACACTGGCCCCATCAGCCACCTGTGTCTCAGCTCCAGGGTCCCCTGTCGCTGGTCTGTCACTCACCGTCTGGTCAGTGAGCGGGGGCAGGACAATGGTCTTCTCCATCGTGTTCATCACGAGCTTCCAGAGCTCCTTCAGCACCCGCTTCAGCACCGTCTTCTCACAGATCTTGGCAAAGAGCGTCAGGCTGCAGAAAGGGGATGGGGCTGAAGGTCCCAGCACGGCACCCCTGATGCCACCCCTTACCCAGTCACCCTGACCCTGCAGCTCCCCCACACTTCTGGGGCAGGTCAGGGACATTGGGGAGGGTGGGGGCCCCTGTTGCCCCCTACACTCACTTGCTGTCCAGGAGGTCCATGATGGGCTGCAGGACATTGTCAGCATCCTGCGCAACGCTGCTGCAGGCGCTGGCGGGGACGTTGCCAGTGCCCTTCACCTGGCCCAGGATGTCACCCATCTGCTTCACGCATTCCTCGATGTGTGGCTGGAAGCTGGGGACCACAATGCCCGGGCAGCTCAGCATTCCCCACAGCCGTACCCAGGACCCGCTTGGCCAAGCAGAGCCCCCAGCCTGGCCCCAGATGCAGCTCCTGGACCCCCAAACTCCTCCTTATCCCACCACCCGCACCCTCTTGCCCAGGCGTACCTGGTAGCAAAGACTCGGCTCAGCTCGTCCAGGACATTGTTGAGTTTCACCTGCAGTTCCTTGAGGATATCGCTGGCTTCTGTGTCCAGCTGGAGGAGGGATAGGTTGAGGGAGCAATCAGGGTCCCTGGCCCAGCCCTGGGGGGGTCTCTTCCCCCCAAATGCACCTCTGGGCAGGGTGAAGCCCATCTGTCATCCGATGTGGAGGGAGAGCAGGGTGCCATGAGGTGGGACAGTGTGATCCCATACAGGAGGAAGGAACTGGGGTCTGCTCCTAGTGCTGAATAGCTGGGGAAGGGGCTGCCTCTGGGGAGAAGGGATTGATCCAGCCCCTCCACAGGAGTCCCTCCTGGAGACCCTCAATACGCACCTCCTTCCCACCCATGGCTTCAAACATCTTCTCAAGCTGGACGCGGAGCTGCTGGATGTTGTTCATCAGGATGCAGGGCTGGAGGGGTAGGATGGAGAAGGGGGTCAGCACCAAGAAATGTGTCTGCAACAGCTGCCCACTGCCCCAGATCCCTCCCACCCTGGGGGACACAAGAACAGTCCTGACATGGAGCCGTGCCTGCCTGGCAGCATTTCGGGGACTGCCATCGAACAGAAACCAAGGGCAGGACCTGCACCATTGGGACCAGCTCTGGATCTGAGGTGATGGCTAGGGTCACCACACACGGACAGTCCTGCCTGGCAGCACCAGGCAGGTGTCAAGCAGAAGGGAGATACGTCACCACTTTCTCCTTCTCCTTGGAGCAGTACGAGGCAAAATCCTTGGAGATGATCTCGGCATACTGGAGTAGCACATTGCTGATGGTCTGCAGCCAAACAAGGGCATCAACAAAGACACCCAGACAGCATCAAAGAGGAGGAAGGAGGGAGAGAAGGAGATCATGAGTCCCACAGCAGTGAAACAACCCAACGCCTGGATAAACTGGGGACCCACAGACCCTCTGGCCCCACGGATGTGCCGGGAGCCACATGAGCACAGCCACTGGAAGCCAGGTCCAGCACATCTGGTCTCCACAGGCAGCTGCATCACCAGTAGAGCTGCGGAG